ATAGGGGTAAATCTAGCAGAGGTGGCAGGAGATAACGCATTTAATCCAAGTTTTGATGCATAAATTAGTTGTCTAAAAGATCAGAGAATGGAGGGAGTGAGTGAATTTTTTCTTCCATACCTAAACCTCATTGTATGACGTCATACTGACTTATACCACGGGGTAAAAATGCTTTCTCTCGATTCCTCGCCATCCTGGTTCCTTTTTAGTTTGTTGGCACAATTTTATTATTTTTCTTTCTTGCTGTTGTCATGTCATGTCCCGTCATGTCCCGTCATGTTGAGCTTCCTCTTAAAGGGTAACTAAAGGCTAAAAAGGTAACTTTTTCGGAACACCATCTAAATGCCTCGGGTAACACATTGAAAGAGATGCAAGGTGTTTCGAACGCCTCTTTGTGTCTTTTTTCTTCAGGAAAACTGTCCTAAATGCAGCTTCGTGAGTCATAAGCCGTAAACGCTTCGATTTTGATCATTTTTGACCATGTGATCTTATACGTCACACGTATGTACATTAAATAGGTGTGTACATCAGAAGTAGATAGTAGTTCGAGTGAAAGCAGTTCGATTTCGGGGTCTGAGTATTCAGATTCTAAGGCCTCGATTGAAGGTGAACATATTAATGAAAGGGTTTATGAATCTGTTGGTGAAATTAGGCCCTCGCGATTTCAACCGTCAGGACGAAACAGAGCGCGAGATTCAGAAGAGGATCATGGGCCCGCGCGCTGCGGCCGCCTCAATCAAAAAAGCAAGATTGGTGAGTGCATTTACGCTTGTAAATAAAGTATCTGAAAATTAGTCGCTTATTAAACGTAGGAGCGATCAAGTAGATAAAACCAAATGTGCAGACTCTTGAATACCATGGGAGCGAAGTGTTTCTATGCTATGCTAAATGCACGCACCTTCCGAAGCTAAGGTTTCACTGGCTGAAAATATAAACTTACATGCTTGTGGCGGTGAATTGGATGGATTATACACGTTTCCACGCGATTAAATCGGCTTTAAGTTTTCCTGTGTCGAATTTGGCGAACGATTTAACATTCCTCGGCTTTTACTTAAAAACACGATGTAGCAAAAAATAGCATTCGCACATGTAGAATTGAACATCCTCTTAATATTAACTTATTGTTTATCTGTGGTCTTTGCACCTTGTTAATAGCCTAAAGTTTGAGTTATCTCCCACGTTTGTGGCAGTTAAAGAGCTGATAACTGTTCCTTTTGGTGAAACCAATCATATGAGCTGTGCTCTCTATTTCTTCTATTCAACATCGTGAAAAAAAATTGCTACTTTACTGATTTTTTATTACGAGGTGTCAGTGTGGAAACTGTTAATCAATGTGGAGGGAGAAAGAAAACGTCTTTTGCCAAGAAGTAGATGTGGTCAAAGACAAAGATTTGGAGGATGTTACAGTGGAACAGCCAGATGTATTGTCCATCATCCAGGGTTTGAGGAAACTGGTGAAGACTGACTCCGTCTGCATTTGTTTTGTTACGAAACATCACTACTCAGCGCTTCTCTGGTTTGAATGCTGGTTTTCATTTTCTTTGTTTTTGTATTTTTTTAAAGTTGAGGTCGTTATTTGAGAAACATTACATGCTTGTTATTTCCTTAGCACGAGTTTGTCGCTGACTCGGTTCCTTATTTTAACCAAAGCACTGCGTTTTAGACGGTGAGAGCTAGGCAGTCTCATGACATGTGCTTTGATGGTTTCCTCTCTCAGGCTGTCGGCTTGTTTTGTTTACGATAAACGAGCGTGAGTACTGTTCACTCAGCTGATAGTGGTACATTTTCGAAATGAGTAACCTTTCGGACAGGTTTGATTTCATCATGTTTCCGGTCGAAAATGAGAAACAACGCTTGAGTGTGACGCTCATAACCAGGCGTTTCTTGTAACATTCATTTTCAGCGTGTCTCTGTTATAATATACTTCCACTGGAAGTTAATTAAACTTAGGCACACGAATATGCTATATATGCAACTCAATGTTCGTTGTAATCATTCCTGGACAACTCTCAATTAGAGACGAAACGCGTCGAAAGAAATAAACAAAAAGTTACAACAGCAAGTAGTCTTCCTTTGTGCTGCTCACCAGTCTCCGTTGAAAAAAAAACAAAGAAAGGATAAATCTTGTACATTTTCGGAACGTGGAAGAAGAGTATAGTTCAAAAAACCAGATGACGACCTCCCACAATACGCGAAAACACTTTGCGCTTAGTCACGCTCACTTCAGAACCGATGGGTCTAAGGTCACAGTGTTATACATCGGACAAAATCTAAAGTCAAATACTTTTCGGCTTGGACTAAAAAACATCGCTTTAAGTATAGGACTCGATAATGGTTGAGAGGCAACGGTTAGACAGCGAGGGCGAGGCTGTTACTTTCAGGTTTTGACACGACGCTTTTCACTGACTTACACACGTGTGACGTACACATCACGTGACCAGGATCAGACCGTTTTCAAAATAGCCGTCGATTAAGCGTCAAAAAAATTTGTAGAAAATTTGGTTTCGCACAAATATCACTTATTTGTCCATTTAGGATTCTTTAACCTAAGAGGAATGTATTGAGACGAAAAAAAAGGGGAAAAATTTGGCGTCAGTTACTCTTTAACTATATCAGAATTTCCTGGTGTAGAAACAAGTGAATAGATGGAAGATCACGTATTTGCATTTGAACTGCGGAACTGTACCTCTCTCGAACAGAAAGCCTGCGACGATGAAATATGATAAAGAATAAACCAATAAACGAAATGCTTGTCATGGAGCTTCGTGCGTTTCCCCGATAATACATACAGCGCCTCCAAAATAGTTACGGGCTGAACTGTTGAAGAAAGACTGAAGCCAGAGGTAAGGATGTTTCAACCTTTTTGTTACAACCATATCCTAACTGATTTATCGTTTACATATGTATAAAAAATAGCTACAAAGCAGAATTAACGAAATTTCGAGCAATCGAGCACATGTTAACGAGAATGCGAGCATGCGAGCAGTTGCAAAAATTTTGCGAGCACGAGCAAGCGAGCACCCGTGTAATTTTTGCGAGCAATTCGAGCAAAGGCCATATTTTTCGAGCACCTTTAAATTGAATGGGACCATTCGATACCCCTATTGAAATTCAGAAAGCTGGTTTTTTCTTCTTGTCGTGAGTAGAGTTCGTCTGCTTCGAAAAAAAAAGCACTCTGCTATCAAACGCTTTACAAAATATCTTTTAATATTATAGCAATTTCCATAGACTTGTCAATACTTCGGAAACATTTTCAAGGAGCTTTTTATGATGGCCTTCTCAATATCCGCTACTGATATTTTCGAGGCTTGATTGAGGCTAAAACTGGACCAAAGTTTCACCGCCAAAAGTCATTGATGACAAATAGTATTCTTCATTGAATTTAGGGTTCTAGAGGGCAAAATGGCTTCAATTTACGAAAACGTTTATCATATCACACAACACGTTTCATTTGCATATTATGTTATAGAGCTATATTCAGAGCCACGGATGTTGAGTTGAAGAGTTTTTTCCCTACAAAAAAAGCCTAGAATTATTTTCAAATTAGAATAGTGCATATATATATATATATATCTGACAAGCGAACGCAAATCATTTTTTAAGGACTTTTTGAAGTCATTTTTAGCACTAAATACGTATTTCCTTCGGACCAAATCAGGATTGCATCGGTTCAAACACTCATGACAATCAAGGACCTTCATACCTTAAATTCTTCTAAGTTATTTTCAGCATGTAAATAACCCATGGAGAACCAAAGAGCGGACGAGGGAAAATCCACAAGTTGGGTTTGTGAGATTTAGCTCCCCATCCATTTTTCCCCAACACTCGTTCCACATTTTCACTCGTTCCCATGGTAAAATAACTGAGTGACTGGTACAAGCTATGAATGAACAAGCAGATTAGTGCAGTGTAAACGCATTTTAACTAAGTGTATTCAATTTTGGGCATAAGCTTCAACAGATCTAGGGACAAGAAAATTGTATTTACAGAGATAGAATACAAAAACAGCACCATACCGCCACAATATCGAAGATGATAACGACAGTTCAATACAACCCTCTTGTATTTTCCTAATCGCCATTTCTGATCTCCAACCAAAAATTTAGGGTATCAATGAAGTTTCTCTTTGGCCTTTAGATCTTGACTAAAAAGTGTCGATTGCTGCGGTTTTTTATTTGGCCGAGCGATATTTTCAAACGACCCCTATCAAGTGAAGGTGAGAGTTAGGGCCATGAAAGCCGTACCTAAATTGTATAAGAAGGTATTCAGTAAATCTGACCAAAAATGGTATAACACTTGCAAAGCTCTCGTTTGTCTCGCACCAATTTAATTTCTCTAGCCCTTTATTGCGTTATTTCGTCACGTATAACCAATATTACGCTTCACTGTGACGCATACCAAACTTATTTTGATAACTGAATACAACTTTCGTGTTCACTATCCTTGTCCGGTTGGGTTGACCACAAGAGAAGAGATTAAAATCAAGGAAAAAACTTGATGTACAGGACTGAAGCACAAGAGGTCAGCTAAGGTAAATTTATCGACAGCGAATTTCTAATTTGGCATGAAAATAAGCAAACACTGACAGGCGGATGTTTTTATTCCAGTAGATCCAATATGGTCAGTTCGATTCGTTGGAACCCTAACTCGCCAAGAATGTTTTAATTCTTGACGAAATGCGCAGCCACGACATATTAGAAGTGTCTGCGAAAATTCAAACCAAACATTTGCATTTGCTCAGCTATTACAGAATTGGTATTTTGAATTTGTTTGGTTCAAAACCCCTTGTGATCCAACTGTAACTGAAGTCAATTAGCTTCTTCAATCTGGGAGGAAACTTAAAGGCCATCAGTTTTTCTTTAAGTTGTGGCACAATTAAGCTGAGTATCTCAGTAGATGAATTCCTTTATTGTATTGTTAGGACTCACAAGTACAGCTCCAGATAAAAAGAAGTCCAAAGAGAATTTTTCAAATCTTGCTTAAGACATCCTCGGCCTTTGAAGTTTGAAAAAGACTGTCTTCGCTAACAGGCTCAGGAAACACCAATAAATCTGTTATCAAACACAGAAATGGCAAACCGATCTGAGGATGGAAACCACACTACAAATCAAGAGGCATTTTGCATCAATACGTCGTTTGGAAGAGAACTGCATCTGTTTCTTGTGGTGCTAAATATTTGCTTGGGTATAACCGCATTTACGTGGAATGCTCTCATTCTTGTCGCATTGCAAAAGTGTTCAGTTCGCCCCCCAACGAAATTGCTATTCCGCTGTCTTGCCAGCACAGATCTTTGTGTGGGTCTCATTCTACAGCCACTCTACGTTACTTATTTGGTAATCAGAGAATCTCCTAACGTTTGCCGTCTTCAAGGAACACTGACCAGTATTGCAAGTGGAATATTTTGTGGCATGTCGTTGACAACATTAACCGCACTAAGCGTGGAAAGACTTCTAGCCCTGTTGCTGGTTATGAGGTATAGGGAGGTAGTTACTCTAACACGCGTTCGCATTCTGGTGGCTATAATGTGGGCTTTCTGTGCTATCAGTTCGGTGCTGTTTTTCGTAAGTTTTTACGTCGCTGTAGGAATGGTCAGCATCATTATGGTACTGTGTTTATTTATCTCTGTCTTCTGTTACACGAAAATATATGTCGCTTTCAACCGACACCAGAGACAGTTGGCACACAATACCCCCCAGAGAAATTCCAAAAAACCTGGAGGAGATATTCTCCTGAGCACGCCACGATACAAAAAGACAGTTTCCTTCTCATTGTTATTGCAAATGGCGTTAGTGACTTGTTATCTTCCCTTTGCAATTGTTGCAGCCTTGTTTTCCTTCACCGAAGTACGATCGTCACTTCTTGATTTCGCTTGGTTCGTAGCATTGTCGGTCGTTATGTTAAACTCAACTCTGAACCCGATTCTTTACTTCTGGAAGATCCGAGATGTGAGACAGGCAGTAAAAGACACAATGAGAAAGCTTGTTGGTCACTAAACGCTTAAAATGGGATGAGACAGATGTTATGGATTAACAAAGAGAAACGGAAATGACTTTTTACCTGACTTTTTGCCAGAAGTCTTTATTTAGCTCTAAATACGTATTTCCTGTGGAGTAATTCAGGATTGTATAGGTTCAAAATACTTATTTTATCAAGAGTCCTCATACCTTAAATTCTTTCTTGTCTCACTTATACATGGCTCACACTTGTTGAAGGAAAAACAAAGAGCGGACGAGGAAAACCCTACAAGGGAGCCGTTCTTGATATTTGCTTCCCACCAATATTTATCCCCTCCCCCCCTCCCCC